CCCAGGACTTTGCGCCAGGCCTGGGCTGACTTGATCCTTACAACTGCCCTGACTATAAATCCATAAGAAGTCACTATCACTGATAAGGGCAATAAGAGAAAGACTAGTGAAGCAATGAACAATTGGACTTCATTGGCATGGACGTCCACACAGGCAAGCTTAATCATTGAGGGTACCTCACAGAAGAAATTATAAATCTTCCGATGTCCACAGCGAGGCAGCCGGAGAGTGACCGCACACTGAATGAAGGTGTTTCCGATTCCAAACAGCCACGCAACACCCGTCAGAGCCTTGCACACCCGTGGGTTCATCACAGTGGCATAGTGCAGAGGTTTGCAAACAGCAGCATAGCGGTCAAAAGCCATCACCACCAGCAGGACACACTCAACACAACCCATGGCCAGGGACACATAGAGCTGGACCACACAGCCCAGGAGTGTGATGGTCTTGGGGCCCCGGAGGTTCCACAGCAGCTGAGGGACAACACTGGTGGTAAAGCAGAGGTCGACTATGGAGAGTTGAGTGAGGAAGAAGTACATGGGTGTTTTGAGCTTAGGTTCAATGGAGGAGACCAGGATAATGACCGTATTTCCCACTAGGGCCAACAGGTAGGACACTAACACCACCATGAAGATTATCTTTTCCAGGCGGGGCTGGTGAGAGAAGCCCACCAGGATGAAGTCCCCCTTGACACTGCTATTGGTGATGCCCATTACCTGTTCAGAGACAGAAAGTATTAGAAGAGCTTAGAAAGAGGGTCTGGTTGACCGCTTGCCACAGCATTATCCCTTTCAAAGAACTCTTTGAAAGAGTTAAGAGAAATTGCAACCACCATTGCACTCTGGCCACTGTCCTGCAGGAGCTACAGACAATGACAAATGACAGGAATCTGGTCAGAGAGTGCAGGAAGGTTCATTGGAAAACAAGCAGCTTCTCACAGATAACCAGGAAGGCTGAGATAAAATTTATCACAGAAAAAATTAAAGAAGGAAAAAGAAAGTCCGATGAAAAAAATGCATTAGCTCATAGCTCATGACAAATATTTCCACTTAAATGGCAAGAAACAAACTAATGTAAATGCAGATTTAATTATAAAGGAAATAATGTTTCTGTTCTTTTAAAATAAACTTGAGTTGGGCATTTTTTCCCAACAGTCTGCACTCATTTAAATGACAGCTTTTAAAGATGATGGAGGTTACTTTTGTAAAATATTTACTCTAAAAAGAAGTGAATAAAATAATCATGTTGAATGATTATGCCACAAAATCTGCAAGGTATATTTCCTTTAGGAATTAGTTAAGTACCTTAGTCACAGCACATCATGATGCAATTCCATGCAATGAACACAGAAAATGAACACATTGCATTGTGCAGTGTGGGATTAAAGAAAGGACACAGGTTCCCGGGCCCTTATATTGAATGAAATGGTTGACTCTGAATGGAGGTATGAGAATCAAGGAAAGGAGGACATCAGGTGAATGAACAAAGCTGTCTCAAAGCACATCACACTAGAATTTCTTCTAGTAGAGAAATAGCTTTTCACAAACTATAGTAATAAAAGCAATGGATATGTTCAATATTCGATATATATACTATACAAAGCACATTCCTAAGACTGTCACTGTATTTCATGGTTGGGACAAACACTCACTTTTTACACATCATCAGTAAAATCCCTCAGGTCTCCAAGGAGAAAACTGTAGAGTAGAATTTCCATAGTAGGGAAGTTTATTATGCCACTGTAGAAAAGAATTTATTTCTTGCTATGCAAATTAACCAAAAAGGTAAAATAAATCCATCTGTTTTCATGACTTATTAAATGATACAATTAAAAAATTCTACCTAGTATTTTCACTTTTAAAGACATGATTCTTAGCAGAGGTCCTTGGACACAAAATGAGATCAGGGTTCTGGACCCACAGCTAACATATCAGCATAAAGACACTACTATCGAAGTAGTGAAAGGAAACATAATAGCAGGCGAAAATATAAAAGGACCTCTAAGACACAAAAAAGTTTACATGTATTTTTTCTAACCCTAATAAATGCATTCACAGTATACGCGCGCACACATCCAGACACACAACCACACACAGTCATCACTTCCCATTCTCCCATTCCAGGTGAATTCACATTCACTTAACCACCTTGAAAAAACGGTCACATGTTCTAGCAACTGAATAAGATGAAAGCCAGATCCCTTAAATCCTGATTCAGGTTCTGATTTACCTTCCCAGTCAAAGGAGAATTTTCCGTGTTTCTCTTGCCTCCTACCACACTTGCTCACTATCTCAACAGAAATACAACTAGAAATCAGTTCACATTCTTGAACTAGTTCCTTGTTTATAAGAATATCTATTATCTAAGTTTGAAGAAAATTTGTGTTCCACATTACATAGAATTTAGTGACATAGTGAATCCTATGACCACCTCATCCAGAGATAATCAAATTAAACCCGTGTATGAATTTACTGTCAAAAATTAAGAATCAGGAACATCCCTGGTGACCGACAAGGTCAGAATCAGCACTATGAGGCAATCCCCAGCAACTGCAGCATGACTTCAGTCCCTGACAGGGAGGTGAGCCACATGGCATGGCAGACCTCTCCTGTCTCACCTACTGCTCCCCTCAGCAGTGTACTTCAGGAGATCTGCCTGTTTTGCTCCCATCCTGTTTTTGGTGATTCCTCTCACTCTCCTGTACCTTTGCCCTTCACCCCAGCTCTTGACTGCTTAAATAAATAAATCATTTTTTAAAAGTTAAGGATCACAGGTATGATAAAGATGGGAAGACAAGGCACCCATACTAGTGAGAAGGCAAGAGAGAGGAGTTTGCCACCTTTTTTTTTTTTTTTGGCACAAAGATCAACTTATCAACACACAAAAGAACTTGCAGCCATAGAGGGTCAATAATAGTTACCTTGCAATGAGAAGTCAGAGGCTATGGTCCACATAATGCCTGTAGGGCTGTTATTTGAGTGGGGATCCCTGAAGACCAGCTGTTCTGGAGAGACTGGAGAGGACAGAGGACACTGAATCTGAAAAGATCCCAGGGACATGTTTGGCCTAATTGGCAATTAGTACCAGTCTCTGTAGTGTCCACAGAACTGTCCCAGGAGGTCATACTGAAAGAAAAAATATTGCCCCTCTGACATTTCAATACTGTTGAAATCTATAGCAAATCACAGAGATATTTACCCTCTGCCC